TAGGAGGCATAGAGGGTTGACACACAGGCTCACTGAAGGTCTGTGTCCCTATAGTCTTGGTGAGTGGGTTGCAAGTTGGGCTGTACTGCTAACTGCAAGGTCAGCAGTTCAAACCCACCGGCCTCTCTGTGGGAGGAAGAGGGGGCTTTCTGCTCCCATAAATGTTTACAGCCTCGGAAACTTGAAGGGGAAGTTCTGTTGAACCAGATGAGTCAGCATCGACTCGATGGCAGTGGGTTTTGTGTTCTGTGTTGAGTCTGTCAATAAGCTTTTGTGGGCAGGTGAGCCTTCAGAAGGAGCCGCTATCTTCCTAGACTCTTGGGCATGGTGTTTGGGTAGACTATCCCAGGGAAGGAGGGATGGGGCATCGAGAAAATAATCATGAAGCAGTGGACAGACCCCCAAAAGGGAATGATGTAGTACAAATTAAACGCATAAATGCGATGGTTGCTTTTGCGTAGAGCAGGGTATGCCTGTGTTGGGTGCAGTGGAGGGCTTTAAAGGGGTGCAGACCCAGGCGTGTATTAAAAACAGTAGGCACTTCTGTCCCATGCTAAAATATTGTCCATTTCTGCTTCTTGAGCCTGAATTTCCTGTGTATGTATATCATTGTCTGGTCTGTCCAGAACAACCTTAGTCTCTTGGGGATCACTGGGTGGGCCTCAGTTTTGTTGCTGGCTTAATTCATTGGCAGGGAATTCATTCTTATTCATCAGACTGAGCCCCCTTTAAAAGGTTTGCACTGGCACGGTTGTCCCAGGTTGCCCCTGATTTTGAGCTGGGCACGGCTGGAGGATTCTGCAGAGAAATATCTCTTTGGGGTGAAGTTGGACTCACATAAAAAAACATCCTGCCCTTGGGTCAATTCCGACTCATAGTGGCCCCATTGGGCAGGGTAGAACTGCCCCTGCAGGTGTCGGAGACTGGAACTGTTCACTGGATTAGAAAGCCTCATCTTTCTCCTGAAGAGCAACTGCTGAGCTTGCGGTTAGCAGCCCAATGTGTAACCGCTACACTACTAGGACTAGGTGGCCTTAAAGTCTCTTGGAATTCAATACATAAGCTGTCAGAGATCACCAGAGGCACCCTGCACAGATAGGCTATTAATGAAAAAAATTCTTTTAATATAAACAATAAAAATGCAACCAATTCTACGTATCTTATAAATGAAGTTAGATAGAAAAGTGGCATGCAAATGCTCACTTATAAATAGTCTGCTGATGAGTTTTCTAGTTGCTACCTCCTTGCCATAAATGCACATTGTATAGCCTTAGTTTTAAAGGATTTCTATCTGGAAGTAGACATTTTCCCTTCTTTGTTAAAGCCTGTGGGGACAAAGAAGGCATGACTGATACATGATTTTAAACATGGGAATAGAGCAGCATTCCTTGCCGACCTTTTTCTGATTAGCAAGCCTGATTCCTTCAACAATTCTTAGCTACTTCTTTTTGGGCCATAGCCAGCCCTCTTCCTCTCTCCACATCCCGGAATCAAAGGGACTTTTGTGTGTGACTGCCAACAAGCCAGCCAGTCTATCCAGGTCTTGTTTTACCTACCTTAATCTCCAAAAAGGGCCCTAACATGGTTTCTGGCAACCGGGAATTTTGAGGGCTTTTCGATAGCCACGGAATTTGTTTTCCTCCATAGGCAGAAAGGGGTGTTTGGCCCTCACTGGGCCCAGCGAGGAGAGCTGGAACAGCAGCTTCCTCCTGCCTGTGGCTGGGCGCATAGGCAAGAGCTTGCTGTCACCCTCCGTGGAAAACCGGAATGGGGAAGAGTAGGTGGCCTTCCTCCCCTTTCCACCAAAAAATAGTAACACTTGAGAGACTTGGAGGACCTAGGTGTCACTTTCCTTTCAGAAGTAGAACCTGAAAACGTTTGTTTTGTTTTGCTGGGACTGTTCCCGGTCCCCCATGATTTTGATTTGGGTAAGGGCTGGAATGGCTCATCTTGACTCTAGCCCGTTAAATGCCAGAGGCAGGGTGCATGCTGATACTTTATGGTTTACTCCTGTAAGAAGATGGAGACAGGATGAATCTTTTTGAAGGCCCCTGTGGCTTCCAAGTGTGCTCAGGCATGAAATCAAACCCAGTGCCACGCTTTCTCCCTGCCCGCCTGCAGCTGGGTTCCGCTTTCCACATTGGCAAGGTAGGTGCTTCGGCTCTGGCGTGAGTAGGAAGCGTGGAGTGGCTTTTGGTTTTGTTCTTTCTTGGGTGGGAGGTTGAGCTTAGTCAGACATGGTCTGACCCCACTGTCTGGGACACCAGTAAAGCTGGATACCCGAGCAGCACCTTGGCTCCGTTTGGAGGGCCGGCCTGAGGGGTTAGAAACCAGACTCCTTAAGGAGAGGTTGCCTTTGTCCTGGCACCAGGTGCCCTGTGGGGTCCCCCATCCTGCTTTCTCCTGCATGCTGCCTTCCCTGAGTGCTTGTCTGTGCACGGTCACAGCTTTCTGGAAGTGGTGTGTGTGTGTGTGTGTGTGTGTGTGTGTGTCGCGAGGCCACTTAGACGATGAGTGAATATATGGGGCCGAGGAGATGAACTCTTTTGGATAACCTGACCTGCATACCTTCCTCTGGAGTGGACACTCGGTCACCCTGTCGTGATGCCCGCCACGCCGAGGGGAGCCACCGGCCCTCTCTTCTGGTTTGACAGGATGTGTAGAGATGGGGCTGAAACAGGTCCCTTGATGGGACAGGCAAGGCTGAGGGAGTGACCCTTGTAGCCTCTGCCTCCACCCATTGTGCTCCCTTAGCTGCATGGTGGTGGGAAGGCCACTTTCATCATGTTGCAGAATGGAGTCAGTGATGACCACCCCAGGTGAGTCCTGCATGACGGGCACACAGGACCTGGCTGCCCTGTCATGGCTGGGCCGGGGGCCAGCCATTGTCCACCAGTGGCAGCTGTTTGTTTCCAGATGGGAACAGCTGTGCCCCCTTCCACCAGTAGGCCTTTGGTACAGGCCTTGGCTGTCATCTTTGACACACAAAAAACCATCTGGAGGTAACCCAGCGGCTCTCAGCCGGTTTAAAAAAAATTATAGCATCTCCTGACCTGTGCTTTGGGGAGGGGTTAATCATGGTGACAGAGAATCAGGGTGAGCAGCATAGTAATTAGGAGTTGTCTCATGCTTGGGCGACTGCAAGGGCAGGAGTAGTTCGAATCCACCAGCTGCTCCACCGGAGAAAGAGGGAGGAGGTTTCTGTTCCTAGAAAGAGGCACAGCTCCATAAACCCTGGAGAGCAGTTTGGCTCTGCCTTATTGGGTTGCTTGGAGTCAGAACGCACTTGATGGCAGTGAGCTTGGGGTTTGGGTTGGGCAACTGGGCAACTACAGGAAGAGTGAATGACACAGAGGAGAGTCCCTCCCAGTGAGGATGCAGGGCTTAGTTCCCCCAGGCCCAGCGGGCTTGCAGCCCTGCTGAGGTTTGGGGGTGATGGAGCAGGGGATGGCCAGCAGAGTATGCACCTTCCTGCTCGTCCTCCTCCTGCAGGGCTGCCGTGTTCCTGGCTGCTCCTGGCTCTGCTGCCTTGCCTTTCTGTTGGGAAATGGCTTGTGCTTAAGGCTAGGAGTTTCCACCTCCACAATGTTCAACCAGAGGAGAGGTACCTTATCAGCTGCCTGCGCAGAGATCCATGTCTGGATAAGGAAGTGTATTCCACAACTCGGAGGCCGCTGGGAGCTTGGAGGGTGTAGGGTTCCCTGTTTCCTGCCTTCCTCAGTACAGATGCACACTCTGCTTCCTCCTTCCACTGTGGGCCTCCTGGGTTTTGGGTCTCTGGCTGTGCATGTACATATATGTAATGAAGTTTATTTTTTCTTCTGAAAACCATTTCAGGTTGTGGAGTCATCTTCTTCCTTAAGCTGGGGCACCAGAATTAAAGGCTTCATTGCCTGCTTTACCATTGGGATTTTCTGCTCACTGCTGGTAAGGCTTCACACCCTCCCTCCCCCACACTCGCTTTGAGTACATCCCTGCCCTTCAGTGCACCTCTTTTATCTTTTGCTCTTTTCTGAGATGCCTGGGGAAGAGAAGAGGGAGACAGGGAGGCAGGAGCGGGGAAGTGGAGGGTCCTGGGGTTACCTGGTGGCCTGAGCTGGTTTGGGCTGTGGTGTGAAGGTTGCTCACCCGTTCCCCCTGCTTTAACTTCCAGGGCACGCTTCTGCTGTGGGCGCCGAAGGGACTGGTCCTCTTCGCCGTGTTTTACACCTTTGGTAACATCACAGCGCTTGGCAGGTAACTGTTTTGTTTGTTTTTAATCCCACCTGAGACAATTAATAGATGGGAAAATGGTGGGATATGTTGATCCAGCAATTAAAAAAAAATTTTTTTTTAACAAGCAATTTTAAGAATTTGGAGGGAAGATTAAAAGAAACCCCAAAGCATACTCAGTGTCATCGAGTTGATGCCGACTCATAGTGACCTCATAGGACAGGGTAGAATTTTTCTAAGGGTTTCTAAGACAAAGAGGCAGCTAAAATAGATCACATTCATTTCTTTCCACTTCAAAGATATTTAAAATTTTTAGTTTATTTTTGAGAGATGACTTCGAGAGAGCGGAAAGAGGAATATGCTATGACTTTACATTGGAGGGAATGGAAGCACAGGGAGGTTGAATGGCTTCCCTGGGTTTGCAACAGGCTCCTCTGCTTTGCTGGCATCTCTCTGCTGCCAGAGACCCCCTTGGTGATTTCAGAAGGGCTTCTCAGGCTAGTGCCTTCTGGTGTGGCTTTGTTAGTCATTAGTTGCCAGCCAGCCTGCGCTGGAGGGTCTCTTGGGGAGGGGAGGGCAGAGTGTCCATCCGATGGAGTGCTTTCTGGGTGTGGGCAGCCCATCCGACCCGCTTTCGGTTCTCCGAGACGCCCCAGGCTGAGCCCATTCACGCTGATGGCTCCAGCCCCACCTGGGTGCTGTTGGTGCTGGCCCGGCTGTTCCAGCTTACATGTCCCACAGGGCACTGGACTCAGTGGTCCCGTGCTCCCACGGGTCTCTGTGAATGGAAGTTCAGACTCTGTCTCCCTGATTCTGCACTGAATCTGTTGACTTTTCTGACCTCGTTTCTGCCTTGTGCCCATGGTGGCTGTCATTCCCCAGCTGACTCACGTGCTCAGTGGAAGAGCATTTGTCCCACCCTGTCTGGTCCTTGCTTCGTGGTACAGTAGAGTAAGGCAGACAGACATCCAGGGTCGTGCTCATAGAATATGGCATAGAACAGTATGCCCAGGAAGGAGCATCTGATCCAACCAGGGAGTTAGGGAGGGCTTCCTGGAGAAGGTGATACCTTAGCTGGGTCTCAGCAGGACCAGATCTATCACCTCTCTCACCTGAAGTGTACTGCGGCGAGGTTTTTCTGCCTCCTTTCTTGTCTCCCTCCTGTAGTTTATTTTCCACAGAGTTGTGGAGACTTTGCTGATACCTCTGCATAACCTGGTGGTACAGTGGCTAAAGAGCTTGGCCTGCTAATCACAGGGTTGATGGTTCGAACCTCCCAGCTGTTCTGCTGGAGAAAGACATAGCCGTTGGCTTCAGGAAACCTCACAGCCTTGGAAGCCCTGTCTGTGGGGCAGTTCCTCTCTGGGTCTAGCCCCCTCAGTGGCTCCCTGTTCCAACTCTTTACCACTCAGGAAAGGCCCTTTGACAGGCCATCCTTCCCCTCCGCCCCACTTCCCAGCCGGGCTGAACATTGCACGTTTCTGTGCCTTTGTGCCTGCTGCTTGTTTTTCCTGGAGTAGCTGCACCGTCCCGCGTGGTAGGTACTTTTCATGCCCCAGTGCCCTAGTGGATTGAGCCTTGGCCAGTCACTCCAAGGTCAGCGGTGGGAGATGAGGCTGTCTGCTCCCGAAAAGATTTATATTCTCGGAAACATTAAGGAGCACTTAGTTGTACTCTGTCCTACAGAGTCACCATGAGTTGGAATCTCCTTGTTGGTGATAGGTTTGAGCGTGTTTTTTATTTTTAATACACATAGTAGATAATCAGAAGTACAGTGGCATTTTATTACATGGACTTGTTATGTGTCTGCAAGCCACTTGTTGGCTATGCTTGTTGTCTGTTCCCAGACTTATTTCTGCCTGGAAATGTTGGCCCACTGGCCAAGTGCCTGTCTCTGGTTACCTTCTGAAAGTATTTTTTATTATGAATGCTCAGGGCAGTAGAATTCTGGGCTCAGGGATGCCTAATCTCACTTCTAACACACTGTCATATACTAAGTTACGGGGTGTGGGGGTTGTGGTGGGTAGCCCATGTATGTTGTAGGGTAGCGTGCAGGCTGGATGTCAAGTTAGGTTGTCCAGGAGAACAATCTGGTTAGTCTGCGTGGGGCTGATTCTTCCCAGCACCGGGCCTGGTGTCGGAGCAAAGGGAGTGACTCCGGGCTGTGTCAGGAGTCAGAGCTAGCATCTGGTACGTTTTTGCCTATGTGTGGAATTTAATTTTTGAGACCACCCTTGGCTATTGTTTTCTGTCCAGCCAGGCTAAAATAGAGTGCACCCAGCTCAGACTTGAGCTCATAGAGTAGCATTAAACTCAAGTTGAAAGTCTGTAGCACTTCAGAGATGGGCAGGCGTATTTGAAAAGTTTTTGTTTCTATGGAACAGTCATATCTTCTGCTTGTTGACTTGAATCAAACACAGGATGTCACAGTTACCACCTGGGCCATTGTCCTTGGGATTCAGGCAACAGGAAGCAAAGCTGGCTTTAGCATTGTGCTGCCCTCCCTTACGTTCAGCCTCTCACTTGGCTGGCTCTCAGATCCCATCACAATAGCAGCTTCTAGTGATGTGTTTCAGAGCTACGAATCCGATTGAATACTGGCTCTGAAGGCTCCCGGCTGTCTGGTCTTGGATAAGTAAACCGACCTCTCTGAGCGTTGTTTCCTCCTCTCAAAAATAGGCGTGACAATACCTACCTCGGAGGGTTGCCAGTGGGTGAAATGATGTGATGCACTTGCTATCTGACATTTAGCAAGTTTTCAGTGGGTGATGGAATTATCATTAGAATTATTCCTGGAAGAAAAGGAAAAGCTGTGCTTAAGATTGTAACAACAACATGTTTATGTAAACATAAACAACTTAAGGTTGTAACATAAACATATTTATGTCAACATGAACAACTTAAGGTTGTAACATAAACATATTTATGTCAACACGAACAACTTAAGGTTGTAAAGGGTGGTTCTCTGGTAAATTTCCTGAGTCCTCTTCTGACCTGCTTGTGAGCTGGTTTCCATGGTGAGGAAGGAGGGACAGTAGTACCCTTCAGAAAGCAGGGTGGTCTTTCCAAGTGGCTCTCAATGTGGCTACATGCATTTACAGTCCAGCCATGCTGTTGACTTACCAGGTGGCAGGTAACCCCTCTGGATTTTAGTTTCCTCATCTGTATAGTAACTAATAACTGTTCCCACCACCTAACCTTTAGGTTGTGGGTGGGTTAAAGAGAGCAATGCCCAGAGGGCCCTGAGGGGCAGTGGCTGGCCCAGAATCAGAGATGGCCAAACGTTATCAAAGGCTGCCAAGGTCATTGCCAACCTCGGACAGTCTTGGGGCAGTGACAGGGAGACGCGGCGAGGTGGGCGCCTAACATTGGTCTGGCTCTGGTCTGAATGACTTGTGTGTGTTTACTTCTCAGCACCATGTTCCTCATGGGACCAATGAAGCAATTAAAACGAATGTTCGAACCAACACGCTTGATAGCCACAATCGTGATGCTGGTAAGACCTGCCGTTTAGCGGGACTTCAAAAAACGAGAGATTTTATATTTACTGTGGGGATTTTTTTTTCCTGTTGAAATGAAAGATCTCTTTTATGTGGTCTTAAGAACCTGCTTTGTGAAACCACTGTGGAAAGGGAGGGAACGTTTGCCTTTGTTGAGTTCCCTGGAGTTTCAGTCAGTGGCCGGCATTGCCGGTTCAGTTCTGCACAGCGCCTCCTGGGGGCGTTGTTCGCGATGTCAGCTGAGTTGATCAGGAGAGAGAGCACTGTCGACCGAAGTTATACAGGCAGAGATGAGAGGGATTCGCTCAGAAACACGGTTCATTTTCCGATGATGTGCTCTGTTCGCCTTACCATCATCTGACTCTGAGATGAATCATATTTCTTCAGTTTTTCTCAGTCTTCCTGAAGCCGGTCTCCTCTCCTCCTGACCATTATACCTCTGCCCTGCTTGGGTAATGCCCTTTTATAGCGGGTGCCTGCACTGCTCTGAGGAGGGACTCCTCTTGTGATGATCAGCACTGTAACCTGTGTACCATTTGAACCTAGTACTCACATTACTCTCATTATAACAAGAGACACAGTCTCTGAACCCCTGGCCACTTTCGGTTCCCGAGGAGCATCGCGGACCGTGGTGGAAACAGAAGCAGTGTTGAAGCTTGCTGATTGAGCAGTTCCTGGGATCGGAGGATGGGGTAGAGGGTAGGGATCATGGTTCAGGGCCCAGTCCTTAGCTAGCGCGGGGTGCAGACGGCCCGGGCAGCTGCTGTACAAAGGGCTTCCTAAGAAAGGGTCAAGGGAAAGTGTTCGATGACATGTAAGCCAATGACTGACCTGAGAGAATGACAGCCTGTGTTAACCTTTGCGCTCACATGCCCTGTCCATCAGGGGACTTCCTAGTGTTTGCCAGAGGAGGTCTGTGTGTGTTAAATGGCCAAACGATGGGTGGATTAGATATGAGATCTTGTACCGACAGGGATTCTTGAAAGTAGGGCCATTCTGTCTCGACCAGTTTGGCTCCATTGGGATGTTGATTCTGCTGGCGGACACCAGGTGCTCAGAGGCCTTGAAAGCCTTGCAGTGAAAGCAGACAGTGGGCTGCAGCAGTAACTGCCAAGTTGTCTGGGTCTTACCATGCTGCCGGGATATTCATGAACCATTTCCCCTCTCCCTCCAGGTGTGCTTGGTACTCACCCTGTGTTCTGCCTTTTTGGTAAGTGCGTATTCCACTGTGGCTGAAACTTGTTGGCATTTGCCTCTGGCCACACACTCTGATGTCATGAAATCAATTTTCTTTCAGTGGAACAAAGGACTCGCCCTCATCTTCTGCATTTTGCAGTCTCTGGCCATGACGTGGTAAGTAACCTTTTCAACAGCCTTTCTCACGTGAGCTCTCTGACTGACGCCGCTGCAGGAGACACAACCCCATGCCGTGTGGGCAGAGGCTCAGTGTGGAGGATCCTCAGCCATGCCAATGAGGCCACCCAAGCCTGTCGGCTCGGCCCGCTGCCAGTAGATGGCGGTAGTGGTTTAGCGTGTCCCTGGAGTCTGTTGACTTTTTGCTGCTGTTGTGAGTTGCTGGGCTCATGGTTGATTTTTTGAGACCTTCAGTGTTACGAGCAATTGTGTGCAGGAAGTGAAGAACAATGAAAGTATTGTAAGGGCTGGTAAAGAGAGACTTACGATTTAAATATCATCGTGGTTGAAAGGGAAGACGGAAGAAAAATAATGAACGCTGTACTTGTGATGGGATGAGTCACCGAACAAGGACAAAAGGGACTTATCCCCACTCTGAGGGACAGTGACTGACAGAAAGGGAGGCTGTGGCATGAGCCCTGGAGGGGCGTGGCCTTGGGACTGATGACTAGGACGCGGTCGCTCCAGGACCTGAACAACTGCAGTGTAGAGGCGACTGATTTATTCTGGGGGAGATGTTTGCTAGAATGTGCATCAGCTAAGAAACCTGGCCCTGGACTTTTTAAAGCTTTGAAGGAGTCAGTACACCGAAGAAGTGAATCTCGAGGCTGCCGATTTGGCAACCTCTTCCCGTGAGTAACTCTGGACACTTGAGTGAGTGCGCTTTCAAATGGCCTTTTGGTGTTTGCCAG